ACAAGCACTATGATCGGAAATCTTGTTTGTTACTGTGCACACACACTCTCTCCCTCTCTCTATTTTTATTTTTTGGTTTCATGGCTTTAAATATAGAAGATGTAATCGTTTTTCCCCTTTTTAAGTAACAATTTAAGGAAACTAAATAGGATCAGAATAAGAAGAGAATCGGTCTTCGGAGTAATGAGCAAAAGGAAAAAAAAATAGAAACTTATTTTAATCTCTGGTTTTACTTATACATTTTCTTCCATTGAACCGGTTCTGTGATCAAACTATAACCAACTTGCCGTGGATCTAGTTTGACCATCTAAAATATAGTTCAATTTTGAGATCAATTTCCAAAACAGATTATCCTAATTAGTAGAAGTATTTACCAAAAGGTTAGGGTTGTAGAATTTGAAAAGCTGAAGGGTTATGAGAAGCTTAAAGAGTGTGTTTTTTTTTTCTTTTTCTTGAACTCATGCCAACGAGACTTTGACACAGGTACCATTTGAAAGATGCAATTCTTGATGGTGGGATTCCATTCAACAAGGCTTATGGAATGAGCGCGTTCGAGTACCACGGGAAAGACCTTAGATTCAACACTGTCTTCAACAATGGAATGTCTAACCATTCAACCATCACCATGAAGAAGATTCTCGAGACCTATACTGGTTTCGAGACCTTGAATTCTTTGGTTGATGTTGGTGGTGGCATTGGTGCTACTCTCAAAATGATTGTCTCTAAGTACCCTAACCTTAAGGGCATCAACTTTGATCTCCCTCATGTCATCGAAGAAGCTACTCCTCACCCCGGTATATATCTTACATTTTCCTAACATTTCTCAAAATCTAATTTTCTTTTACATATGATTGAGAGATTGTTGAATAATGTAGGTATTGAACATGTTGGAGGAGATATGTTTGTTAGTGTCCCCAAAGGTGATGCTATATTCATGAAGGTTAGTATTAACCAAAGCTCTTATATATACCAAAAAGTATAACTCATCAAGAAAACGAATCTCAAAACATTTTCGTTCGATTTCTCTCATTGTTGTTGTATATAACAGTGGATATGTCACGATTGGAGCGATGAACACTGCGTGAAGTTCTTGAAAAACTGCTACGAGGCGCTTCCAGAGGATGGGAAAGTGTTGTTAGCAGAGTGTATACTACCAGAGACACCAGACTCAAGCCTCTCGACCAAACAAGTGGTCCACGTCGACTGCATTATGTTGGCTCACAATCCCGGAGGCAAAGAACGTACTGAGAAAGAGTTTGAGGCATTAGCCAAAGCATCAGGCTTCAAAGGCATCAAAGTTGTCTGCAGCGCCTTTGGTGTTTACCTTATTGAGTTTCTCAAGAAGATTTAAGAAAACAAAACAAAAAATATGATTTTATCATGTCAACGTTTTACTTCACCCACCTTTGTTTTAACTTATGATGTTTAATAATGGTTTTGTTAAGAAATTGCTTATTGATGATATTGTGTTTTTTTTTTCTGTTTCTTTGGAACAAAATTATGTTAATAATTAAAGAAAAATAATATAATGAGATATTGTTGAATTAAGTCAAAAAACCTTATCTAATACAATCAATCACATTGACAGACAATATACCACGTGGACTATGCTCGTTCACCGACCAAGACCAGTTTCAACGTATCTTCATCAAACTCAAAACTTGTGGAACTTCTCTTACTCTTTCTAGACTCTTCTAGCTTCCCTTCTCGATTTTCAGATTATATGTATTTATACCAATCCTTCTTTCGTCTCGTTAAATAACAAAACTTTTAAATTTCACAAAAGCTTAGAAGAAATTCGATCAAAACAGCAACAATAATTCGAGGATGATGTCGCTATTTAGCCCACTCGATGCTCTTTACGCTGAATCAAACGGCTTCAAGATGAAATTCCCAGGCGGTCAAAAACAGAGCTCCGGCGAGAACCAGTCTCCGGCGACGGAGGAGCTGAAGAACTCCGGGAAAACTCCGGTTTCATCAGACGATGGAAAGAATAATAAGAAGAAGATGATCCAACCAATGAGGATAGCTCCAGAGCTCGACGGTGTTCATTGTTTCGAAACAATCCTTCCTTTTTAATAATCATAAATTAATACTTTCTCAATCTTTATTGATTACTTGTAAAAAAATAGCTAATTTTGTATAATAAGATTAATCAAAACAGCTTATTCCATTTCTACAAACTAATCTACAATTTTTCTTCCTTACTGGATCATTCTCAATAATCTATCAAAAACGAATCCTATGGAGAAGTAGTTTGACTTTGACTTGTTGCAGTTGTTGTTCTTGTTCCTTGGACCTGACGTTTTCTTCCACCGTTAACAAACTTCCTCCCAAACCCTAAAAGAAACGCCGGAGGAGCGAAAGCCCCTCCGCTCAAAGTGCAAACAACCGCAACAGCTCCACCGATAATCAACAGTTTCTTCAAATTCGCAGCTCGGTCTCCTCCGTTCGACGTGACCTGAGTCTCAGTGACAGGAGATCCGCCGTTGCTGAGCGAAACGAGATGTTCCGATGAGATCTTGGTGTTGATCTGAGCCATGAGAGCTGGCCGAGAAAGCTTGGTTCCTCCTCCTCCTGATGAGTTTCTTTGCTCTTGGTAAGCGCGTAAACCTGGTTCCATCTTCTTCACAGCTCCCCACATTCCTCGTTTCACACCGAGCTTCGCGATTTCCCTCGGTATCCCCATGTCTTCGTGGTGAAACAGAAGAACTTCGCAGGCACTTGTTACTCCATCTTCTCTTCTTGATTCCACTGCATTAAAGGGGAAAAAAGTATTTCACTTTCTGTTTAAGTTATCTCGGTTCTTGGATAAAACCAAAACAAAGTGGTTTGATGTTGATTGTTCACCTGGTCGAATGCACCAGCTCGAGTAGAACAATTCCACACGTTTCTGTTTGTTGTTGCGCGGTATTGAAGGAACCGATACTCCCTGAAGATAGCAACGAGAGAATGATCTTAGAGTGTTTTTACAATAACCGATTCTTTCCAAATCCAAACAACGAAGTAAACATCACAACAACTACATCATTCATAATCCTTATCACATTCACACTCTGCTTCTTCTCTATCTAACGGATTAGTTATGCTAAAGTTGGCAATTCAATCTGCAGCCCTACGCAGAAAAACTTCCATTTTGATACTTAGTACATACCTTTGTAACACAGTAGTAAGATTTGCCACAGTTCCATATCCTGCGACCGATCACATACTCTCTATCACTACAGAAGAAAGGGAACTGCGACACATAAAACGAGAAGTCAAGTCAAGAAACAAAATCACAGTGAGAAAGCAATCAATCAATCATCACACAAAGTGAAATAGAGAGACTAACCTTGCGTATCCATCTAACAATCATGGTTCCAGTACTTGGACACTCTTCAACAGTAGTGGAATTAGAGAGCATTGTGTCCCAAGTTGGTCTAAACTCATCATCCCAGAAAAAATCTCTTAGAACCTCAGGAGTTGCATCTTCAAACACAGTTCTGCTTCTATACTCAGTAGGACCATTCTAAACAACAACAACAAAGCACAACACTATGAGAAAACGCATCCATTATCAACACCAAGAGAAGAAATCTCTCTCTCTCTCTCAGAACCAAGAACAAGTGTTAGTACCTTAGGTTCTCTTAACCAAGCTTGATATCTCATTCCAGGAGTAAAACGATCCATAATCTGAATCCAAGCATGACCACCATCTTTCCTCTCAACCAATTGCACAAGATGTCTCAAATCCAACTCCGTTACAGTATTAGGCAATTTCTCATCTGCTTTCTTCCCTCTACAAAGACAAGAAACAAAACTAAATTAACAAACACACCAAAAGGAAAAAACCCTTTTTTTACAAAAAGTACAAAACCACCATCAAATTTTGAAGCTTCTTACCCAGCAATTACATCTACATGTTCAGAAGAATCAGATGATGATGACGACGACGGTGACGAAAAAAAGGGAGAAATTGTTTTCTGTTGTCTTAAAGCCATAGTCCATGTTTCGCAAACAAGAGCCTTCAAGCAAGGAGCTGAGCCAAAACCCTTCAACGGAGAAGTAGCAGAGCGAGGAGAAGGAGATGAAGGTAAAGACAAATCAAAGGATCTCGGAGCAGAACATTGTAATTTGACTTTCCGGTTATCGGAAGAAGAAGCCCATCTCGGTTTCCATGTCCATCCTATGACCAATCCAACAACGAAAGCTAGCCATCCCGCGATTAGCCCTAAGATTATGCTCACGAGTAAAGCCATAGTTTTCCTAAAGAAGAAGAGAAACACTCGAATAAAGGGTATGGATTAAAAAGCGATTTTTTTGGTTGGATAAATATAAAAAAAAAAAATCACGAGAGAGGCGGTGAGAGGAAGACGACAGAGGAAATTAAGAAAAGGACATGAGTGGTGAGAAGAGAAGACGAATAAAACTTATGGTAAAGGGCTATTGTTGTAGACGCACGTTAATATATAGAATTGGGGTTTTCTTTCTTTCTCAAGCTAAACAGCCATTGATGGAGCTTGAAAGGCTATATTGCTTTTTAGAGGACGGAGAGTGTGAAACGACGACCACCGTCCATTACTGACCATTTCAATCATTCCTGAATTACTACTTCCTTCAGGGTTTATTTTTCTTTCCTCAATTAAATCGTGGGTTTTTTTTATTAGGCCTTTTACATTTTATTACAGTAACGTTTTTAATGTCCCATTATGTAAGTGATCTTTGTTCAAAGGCATTAACTCGTCTATTTTGAATCTTTGATATTTGAGCAAAGAAATTCCGAATTCAAATCCTATATATTACATGTATCATTCAAATTGAATAATTTAATTTTAATTTATTATTATTAGATTTATATCTTGTATAATATTGGTGAATATATGGATCTAGATTTTGGATATGGATATCCTGAAATTCGAAAATATATATTTAATCCGTGCTCGTTCCTAAATCTCATCATCTATTTCAAATTTATTATTGATAAAAAAATTTAGACTAAAAAATAGTTTAGAGTAGAGAAAAAAATAAATCAATTTTAGTGATAATAATGCCAATAATGGACTTGTTATTATCTCCAGGCCCAATATCATTAAACAGTTTCTAATACACATTTCTTCTTTGATTATTAAATTTAAAACCCTTCAATCAAAACCCATCCACAATGAAATACGACCGTTGAATCTGGATGTGATTCTCAAATCAGAAACCTTGGTTTCGGATATCGCTATGGCGATTCTATCCTTCGCCTCTTGTTCCGTTTCTCATTTCTCACCGCCGATTAGTCTCCGGCTTCATCTCCCGCCGGTTACAGCTCTCTGTTACCATGGAAGCTTCCCTGCTTCTACATTGAAGACTGAGTTACGACCATTGCTTCTCGGCTGCTTAGATCGTCGAGAAACTGGTCTCATTTTCCGATGTAATTGCCTTAGCTCTCCCATTGACGCCGGAAGTCAATTCGGTTAGTGAAACTTATACTTTATATGCATTTTTTTCTATCTGAAGCATATTCGCAAACACTTGGTGTGCGTTTTTATCAATTGCTGCTTTCTTCTTCCTTTTGAAGAGTCTCTGTTTTCGCTACTCCGACGTATTGGGTTTAGAGAAGAAGAATCGGAGATGATTATAGCGAAGAACCCAGATATAAAGTCGACGTCTTTGGATAAAATCGGTAACCGAATCGCTTCTCTCCAGTCTCTGAAAATCGATGGCCTCGCGCTTCTGGGTTTGATTGCAAAGTGCCCTAATCTATTGACCTCAGAAGAATTCGATATCGTCATTACATTCTTCGCTGATGAACTCGAAGGAAGGCTTGAGCCTGAGCTAGTGGAGCGTTTACTCTCCGTGGTAGACACATCGTTCTTGCTTAGTTTCAACCAGAAGGTGAGATTGCTTATCCAACACGGGATACCAAAAGAGAAGATCTCTCACGTATTGAGCAAAGTGTACCTGAACAAACTGCTGTATCAGAAATCCGTTGAAGACATTGAGAGGTTGATCAGTTTCTTGGAACCTTTTGGTGGAATCGGTATAATCGCGAGGCGGCCAGTGATTCTCAACAGTGACTTGGATGCTCAGCTGATTCCTAGGGTCGAGTTCATCAGGAATCTTAGCGGGGAAGACGATTTCGCCACTGGAACCGTGCTGCGTAGGCTCCCTGCCATCTTGAGTTACAGCGTCGAGCATATGAACAGCCACGTCGAGTTCCTCAAGTCCTTTGCTGGCTTGACGAGCGAGCAAGTGTTCAAGATTGTTCATGTGTTCCCTAATGTGATCAGCACCAGCAAAGAGAGGAAACTTCGGCCGAGGTTAGAGTTTCTGAAAGAATCCGGCTTTGATTCCCCCGGAATCTTCAAGTTCTTGAGTAAAGCGCCGTTGTTTCTAGCTCTATCCGAAGATAACCTCTCGCACAAGCTCGGGCTTCTGGTGAAGATTGGATACAAGCATAGAACAAAGGAGCTGGCGTTTGCGATGGGAGCTGTGACAAGAACAAGCTCTGACAATATGCAGAGGGTGATTGGGTTGTACTTGAGTTACGGTCTTTCGTTTGAAGACATTCTTGCTATGAGCACAAAGCATCCTCAGGTCCTGCAGTATAATCACGCTTCTTTAGAGGAAAAACTGGAGTATTTGATCGAGTACATGGGCCGTGAAGTCGAAGAGCTTCTTGCTTTCCCTGCGTTTCTTGGATACAAGCTTGATGGCAGGATCAAGCACCGGTATGAAGAAAAGTTGAAGAGCAGAGGTGAGAACATGTCTCTTAACAAGCTTTTGACAGTATCGGCTGAAAGATTCTCCAAGGCGGCGGATGGTATTGAAGTGATTTGTTTATGACTTAGTGACAAAAGCAAACAATAAAAGTTATTGAACCGAGTTTCAGTTCAGTGAGAACTTACAGTAGTTTAAAAGCTGAGAGTTTATATCACAATTTCTCAATTAGATATTAACATTTATACTTAAATCTCTCTTGATTTTCATTCAGTTAAGCTAAGCTTCTTTTTTTTTTTTGTATTTGTTCCCTAATGTTCTTGCTCATAGGTTAGTTGTGCCTCAGATTATGAATAAGATGTCGCATAGCATTGTCTCTGCCGACCAAACTCTTGTTGCAACTTTTATTTTGATTCTCTGGTGAACAATTCAAACAAATCTTTTCACTACCTTGTATTTACTTGAAAATTCTTGTACCCATTAACAGAAAATTTAAAATAAGCTTGAATTAACTTGAGTTGAAAATATGTGGCTATTAAAAAACTTTGAAAAAGAAAGGGAAAAAAACTCAATTTCAGAAAATATTTTTATTCAAAGTCAGATATAATGTTTCATTTGAATATTAATAACAACCTTATTTGAATTAATTGACTAAAAAGTTATTTTTTTAATTATAACTTATAAATTACAGATTATATATAAATATTTAACAAAAATGTTGGCCATTCTTATATTTAAATCGAAATAATCAATCAATTACACTTCGGCAATTACACTTCAACACGTAATGTTAAAAGAAGATAAAATATCAAATGTTGCCATTTATTTAATTTTTTTTTTTTTTTTAGAAAAATGATTGTCAGTTACACAAAATAGACGCTATCACATGACTACACATATAGAGAATATTAATGTATTCAAAACTACACGAACTATATGGTAAATATGATGACATGTATGAACTAAATGATGTTATGTCACTATCATCACAACCATCTTTCTTATTATCAGAATAATATATTTAAAACTATACAAACTACTTTAACAAAAACAAAATCCATCAATTATATTTATAATATATATATATATATATATATATTATAGTATATTTAATCCTTAATATGAATAAATTTTAATTAAAATATAATATTTGAAAAATTATAGTTATATAAAATTAAAAATTAAATTGATTATCAATGGTTAATAATTTGTATATTATATATTTATGTGCTTTTAAAATGTCTTGTTAATTTATTAGTTATATTTTAGTATGTAAGTTTGTATATATTTTAATAAATTATTTTGTTTGTACTAAGTATAGTAAAATCATTATATTTCTTAAGCTTAAAAAAATCCTTATATAAAACTAGTATCATTTTATTGTTAACTTGAAAAGATAAAAATTTGATTGATTTTGGTTTAAGCTTTAACTGACTTTGATAATTTTTTTCTTGATTTTTCTTTTTTCTCTAATTTGAATTTGAATATCATTTATTTTTAACCTTTTTCTGATGTAAATAACTTTTCATAAGAAAATCACAAAATAGTTTATATGATATAAATAAATATATATATATATAATAAAAGTTATAAATTGAAAATATAGTGTTGTTAAATATACTAAAAACAAACTATAAATTATTTAATGAAAACAATTATAATAATTTTAAGTGAAAATTTTGTCAAATAAAAATATTTCTTAATATATAAAGAATTTACTATGCATAGTAAAGATAAAAGGAGTTTAATATATATATACAAACTTACATACTAATATTTAGCTAATAAATTAACAAAATATTATAAATGCACATAAATATATAATATATAATATATAAATTATTGACCATTGGTAGTCAATTTAATTATTTTTGTTTTTATATAACTATTATTTTCACATATTATAATTAAAAGTAGGAATTTATTGATAATATATAAATTTCAGAGATTAGTATAATATATATATTTATAAATTATAACTATTACAAATATAATTTGTGGAGTTTTTTTTTGTTAAAGTAATTCGAGTAATTTTGAATACATTGTTCTAATAATGAAAAAGATGGTTGTGGTGTCAGCGACATAACACTATTTAGTTCATACATATCGTTATGTTAACCATATAGCTTGTGTAGTTTTAAATACATCAATATTCTATGTATGTGTAACCATGTGATGGTGTTTACTTTGTGAAAACTCTCATTCCACATTACTTACACAAGCCGTTAAATTTTATGTTAGTAATTGATGTAGGAATTTTCACTTTTGTGTCAATTCTTTACATATTTATCATTGTAGTTTGTAAGGTATTAATCCAAATGGAATGATTGAGAACAATATAATTACAATAGATATGTCTAATTCAAGCTAAACAGAGAAATAATGGTGACAAAAATTCTAAACAAGTCACTAACTTCAAACAAGCAATAATAAAACTAAGCAATACTAAATAAAAGGGAAAATTCGGAATTGGTGCTAATATGAAATAACAAAGGCTCATGATGGGGTTTATTGATATAGAAGAAGTCTAAGAATGATCAGTGATGCTTTATAAAATATATAATAATGATATTTTCTAGGCATAGAATTTAAACAAGCAAGACTAATCCAATCTCTTGGTGAAAATTTCTTTACTAACCACCTAATTAAAAACTAACTCTCATTAGTGACCAAATAATTAGCAAGCAAACAAAACTAATTCTATAAAGCCAAAATAACCTCTAGACATATAATCATTTAGACTAGAATAGATAAGTCATTTAAAAGACATGATCAACATTTATTAATTAAGCATAATACATCATTAATCAATCCTAAAACCCTTCATAATCTAACCCATCTCAAACCCTAAAAAGTACTGCTCACTAATCATTGCAAAAAACCACAAAATCCAAAGAGGAGGTATGATTATGCATGATTAAGAATAAGATTAAACAAGAAAATATTAAGAGAAGATGGTGTAATTATAGATTATATGAACTCCTCTTTAATTGTCTTTTGCTAGTCCTCAAGCAATCTAAAACAAGAGAGAGAGAGGTTTGAAAGAGAGTGCTTAAATCCAAAAATGCCAATGGAGAAAATTAGATCAATGTCCAAGATGTTAATTCTAGGATGCATGCATAGACTCATTCTACTTCAAAAACTTAGCCATACTCATCACAATTCAATGAAGACATCATACTTAGCCCACACTTGCATTCAAATCAACCAACTTTTTAACATTCATTAATAGTTACCAATGGATCTTGCTCATGTAAATCAAGTGAAAATTTTGGTCAAAGGATATGGCCATGAGATGAATAAGATATTATTCAGTGTGAGTTTTCAGATGCAAGAGATCTCTCTCTGCAGGAATGAACTTTGGCAAAATGTAAGGGTAAAGCACAACTTTTGCATGCAAGGATAAACTCTTATCCACCCCATTGCCTAGATTGATTCTAAACCTGACCTTTAACCCCAAAAATCCCATCTTAATCTACCCTTTCCTTAAGGCTTTTTCCTCTTTTTAACATCCCCACACTTAGCCATTTCTTGAGGAAGCTTCTCTTCATTGCTCTTTTCATGATGTTGCCTTCTTTGATCTTCTTTTTGCATCTCTTCTTTTTTTCTTAGGGAGTCTCTTTTTGCTTTATCTTATGATGCTCTAGGAGATTTTGCTCTTTTCTTCTTTGTTGTTTGAGAACTCTTTCTATTTGCTTGCTTCTTTTAGATCTTTTGGTTTCAGACATGCTAAACTTGTTGCATTCCCTTTTCTTCTTTTCCCATCTCTTCTCTTCTTTTACACTATTCTATGAAAATGAAAGTACACCCAAGTTCTAAACCTAAATCTACCATCCTAAGCATATGTATGACTCAAAGATAAGAGTCATATCTACATGAAAGCTCACCCTTATCGTGCTAAACCTAATACTTTTTGCTAAGTTCATTCAAAATAAGGCCTCATGCAAACAAGATAGTATTTAGGCTTGAACGGAGGATTGGTTTAAGGTGGGGTTAACTGTCCAAGATGAGCTTCAGCTACTTGGACTAGCAAAAGTGGTAGAAGGAGAAAAAAAATTCCAAGTATGTATGTTCTATCCATGCAATCACTTTTCAAAATATAAGCAAAATAATTTCAAATCAATATTAAGGTTCTAATAACTAGAGTTGGCATCAAATCACAGCAAACTTTAGCATAAGATATGAATGTCTTAATAAAAATTCCAAATAAGTTTCAGCCTTAACTTCAAACTTATCCAAGATGCATTAAACAATTGTCAACGTGGGCAATGACCTTATTTTAAACATTAGGCATTTTACAAATCATCACTACACCCTATGCACTTGTTATGAATTCTAAATGATATGAAACTAAACTCAATCTTAGATGTAAATGCATCTATATGTTTTCTTTTTGGTTTCAAAATATTAAAAAATTTCATGATTTTCTCAATAATGATGTGTTTAAATATATACATGAGACTCAAGTATGCAAAAAAAGAAAATAAGAAAACAAAACATAATTTCAAATGACTCATACCCTCCCACATACTTAAATTATGCAGTTCCTTGTGTAATATAAGTCTAGAAGAGGATGTTCAAACATAAAATATGCAGTGGAGGGAGATATTGTCAAATGAGTAGGGCCAAGAAGATAAAAGGAGGTTTACCTTGAAATTGGGTGAACATCGGACTGGCTGTCTGATGTTAGTGATCGATGTTGACTGTTGAAGGGTGAACATCAGGCTGGGATGCCAATGTCCATGCTCGATTGTAGGGGCTTGATCCGGCAGTTTTAACATCGGGCACGCCTTGCCTGATGTGCTGCCCGATGTTGGCTGCTCGAGAAATGGCCCATCTCCATCTTTTCCTTTTTATTGCCAAGGGTTCCACTTGATCACACTAAAACTTCAAAAATATATATAAGGATACTATGGGAATGCCTCCCAAGAGCACTTATTTATAATCACTTAGCTTGACTTTTCTTGATCTTCTAGTTCGGTTAAGAAGGACTTAGAGAACTCCTTGGTGGATCCTTGCCTAAAATGGCCCTTGAATGTGGTGGTTGGTGACTTGTAGGGAGGCCACTTCTTAGATGTAAAACTCCATTCCTCAGTCTTTATGGAGTACTTAAGCTTGTTCCTCAACTCCATTATTGGTCCTTTTGGTGTCAAAATTTACCACATTATCTTCTTTCAACCTTAACTCAATGATGCCCTTCTTGACATCTAAAACAGCACCAGAATATGCCAAAATTGGCATTACCAAAATGATTGTGTTTTGCACATCACTTTTTATATCTAGCACAAAAAATTAGTTGGTGCCTTCACTTTATCAATCGTCAAGGGAACATCCTCTAGGGGCCCAATTGGTTGTCTTCTTGACTCATCAGCTAGGGTGAGAGAGACATTATTTTTCTTTAACATAATGTGACCTAAGGTCTTAGCAGTGGAGAGTGGCATAAGGTTGATGCTGACCCAAGATCACATAAGCAACTCTTGAAAGAGAGTGTTCTCAATTCACATGGTAGTGTAACACAACCAGGATCTTCAAGTTTTGTAACATGGGTTCCTTCATCCTTATCTTCCCCAACCTGCTTTCCTTAAACCTTCCTGGAAAAGGGGGAGGTGGATTGTATGATGGATGAGCCAGATAGATAGCTTCATTCTTCTTGGAGACAGCCTCTTCTTTCAATGAGACAGCCACTTAGATAGTTTTTTTCTTGTTCTCTATAAACCTTACTGATTTTTCAAAGTATTCCCCCTCACCTAGAACTTCAATGTCCTCGTTGATGATAAAAGGTGTCACCTTTAGAGTTGTAGGAACAAACTCATAGCCATATAGAAGACTTTCAATCTCAGCAATTGAGTTCTCATTCTCCTCTTGAGTAATAGGGGAAGTAGTGGTAATATAATAACAATACTCCATTGGTAAGTAGTGCAGCCTTGATTTTCCTTTGCTCCAGTCTTTTGTTCAAGGATTCAATCTTAGAGTTGGCCTTATTTTTGAAAGAATCCATTTTGTTGTTTGTGGCTGCCAAACTCTTGTTGAGTTCCTCAACCCCACAAATATGTGCTTGTAAAATCTGTTGTATCATTTCTCTCATGTCATTTTCTTAAGGAAAAGAGTTACTGCCATGTAATGGTATAGGAGAAAAAGTATGTTGACCACATATGGTGTAGACTGAAACTTCCCTTGTTGGTTATAGGAGTAGTAAGGTGCTTGGTGATAGTAGCCTTGATGTTGGTAGAGTTTCTCTTGAGGGCTAGTGAAGGTGTTAGCTCTATAGTTAGTGGTTGGTTGACCATTATAGATGTTGTTGAAGCCTTTGTTGTAATCACCTTGCCCAAAGACATAGTTGATTTCTTCTTGGTAAAGTCTCTCCCCTTCTTGGTTTAGAGCATATTCTCCCATAAGGTTGACTTATCTTTATGAATTACGAACCATGTTAGCCATTTTCTCCTTCAGGACTTTCATTTCACTCTTGGTAACCTCTAACTCAGCATCTGTAACCTTTGAAGCTCCTTCATTGTCTTCACTATAGTTTCCATTACTTTGTGCTAAGTTTTTAACTAAAATCAAGCCATCTCTACATCCTTTTTAAGGAGTATCCATTGCTAGCAGTATCTAAGAGTAGTCTTATCTTAGGAAGAACACCTTTATATAGAGTAGAGAGAAGTGTTTCTTTTGAAAAGCCACGATATGGGCATTGCAATGTGAAATTTTTAAACCTCTCCCAAGCATCTCCAAAGCTTTCATTTAGCCATTGACTGAAATTGGAGATCTCATTTCTGAATCTTGTTATTCTTGTAGGAGAGAAGAACTTAGTGAGAAATGCTCCTTTACATTGCTCCCATGTAGTGATGCTTCCTTGGTGCAAACTCTTTTCCCACAATTATGCTTTTATCACCAAAGAAGGTTATAGATATGTTGAGATAACTCATTGTCTGTTGGTCTTTTAGTTTCTCATTTTTGTTAGTATAAGAAAGCGATGGCCTTTTAGCTTTCCTTTCTTTTGTGTTTCATACAAAAAGTTAGGTTTTTATCTAGTATGCTTTTAAAAATCTGCTCTTTCTATGTTCTTGTTATAGATCTGTGGAGATAACTCGTTGTCTTTTAGTTTCTCATTTTTGTTAGTATAAGAAAGCAATGACCTTTTAGCTTTTCTTTCTTTCGTGTTTCATACAAAAAGTTAGGTTTTTATCTAGTATGCTTTTAAAAATATGCTCTTTTTATGTTCTTGTTATAGATCTGTGGATCTTTTAGTTTCTCATTTTTGTTAGTATAAGAAAGCAATGACCTTTTAGCTTTCCTTTCTTTTGTGTTTCATACAAAAAGTTAGGTTTTTATCTAGTATGCTTTTAACAATCTGCTCTTTTTATGTTCTTGTTATAGATCTGTGGAGATAACTCGTTGTCTATTGGTCTTTAATTTAGTTTCTGAGATTTCAAGCGATGGCCTTTTAGCTTGTTTTGAAAAACTGAACTTGCAAACCCTAGATTTTGGATCTACGTACTGTTTGCTTTGATAAGTATTGAGAAACTGAACTTGGCTATCTTAAAACCCTAAATCTTAGCAAAATATTTTTTTATAGGATCTGGAAAGAAAAAAGCTAGCTTTTTAATTTTTTTTTGTTTAGAAATATGATGCAGGCGATAACTAAGGCCATTACCAAGCGAGGTCAGCTCTTGACAGCTGCAACTTCCGCTGGCTTTGGTGCGTGGTTTCCGACAGCAGCAAATAAAGTCATCCAAGAGCGAGCCAACGCAGGCTCGTTGGCTCATAAGGAGGGTCGGGAATCACAAAAAACAATACAATGTGGAGATCGACGATGTGATGGAGGAGATAAAGGAGAAAAAACAAGGAGGATAAGCATAAAGAGAAGGCGAAGCGTAAAGAGCGAAAGCAACATATGGTGGATGCGTGGAAAGCAAAGAAGGCCGAGAAAGATGCCAAGAAGGAGGCAGCCAAGGCGGCGACGGCAACGGCTCCGGCGGCAAAGGATCCAGCGGTTTAATGTGTGGTGTTTACAGTTTAATGTTTGGTGTTTAAATTAAGGAAGACTTTAGATTTGATGTGATGTTTCATTATTTATGTTTTAATATGTTTAAGATGTTTTATTGTAGTTATATAAAAAAAGACTTTCTTCTCTCTCTTCTCTCTCTGGCGATTTCTAGGCGATTCTTTCACCGTCTCACCGACTCACCGTCTTTATTTTCCGGCCAAATTCTACCATCAGGTTTTTTTCCTCCCGGCCTTTTGTCGGACTTTCTCTTCCCAATTCCTCTATTTGGCTTTACAGTTAACCGATATAGACAACGTCTGGGAAGTTATGCAGAATCTTAGTTTTGGTGGTGAAAATCAAAATCCGCAACAAATCTCTGTTGATGCCCGTCGGGTTCGAACTGACAACAATCGCTTAAGCTTGCTTGCTCTTGCCCTCAATTCGGCTCATCAAAAACATATGGATCTCAAGATTTTGCTTCCTAAGGCCTGGAAAATGGAGGGCAAAATTACCAGCCGCATAAACAATGATGGCACCGTTCAATTCTATTTTAAATATGACCATCACTTGATGAATGTCTTGAAACATGGACTTTGGCACTGTAACAATTGGATCGTTGATGTAGATCGCTGGACTAGGCGGTTTGAGCCAGACTTCCTTCATCAAATCTCTTTCTGGGTTAAAGTTCTAAATATTCCAGAGGACTTCTGTTCTGATGCTATAATTCATGAGGTTGGTGATATTTTGGATTCTATTGATGAAATTCGTGTTACTGAAGCCTCGCTGGATAATGATAGTGAAGTCTGGATTCACGTTCAAAAGAATATCAGTGATCGTTTAATCTTCATCCGATATATAGATTTTGAACCGGGCCAGTCCACAATGATCTGTTTTATTTATAAGAAGCTTCGAAAATTCTGCTTCCGCTGTGGGGCTTTAATGCATAGTGATTCTGTCTACGACTATGAGGGAGAGGTTTATTATCAACAACGCATCGAGGAAAGTGCCTCTGATATCTCTATGCCACTCCAACAGTCTCCTGAAGCAGAGATTCCTCATCCAGCCATTGGTCCTTCTCATCCACATCGCTCTGTCCCTCAGGATTATTCAGTGGAAGCCCTTAATGATACTTCCGTCCATCTGATTACTCCGCTTATCCCTGAAGGCGCATCTGATGCTACCCAGCCTGCTAATCGCTTCTACCATCATGATCAAGGACAGCGAGATGATACTATGGCTGAAACGGTTGACTCCAATGTTCATCTTGAAGATAACCGAAGACCTCACAGCTCCGGAGCTGCTGATTTTCATTTTCTAGCACCTCAACCACCTGCTGTCCCTGGTTTTCCTGTGCATGACGATCAGAATGCTCTTCGAGGAGTTAAACGTATGGCTTTAGAGCTTGATACAGATGATGAAGCTTCTACTAATTGACAGAGAATAGGTCCTCACACACAGAATCTGAATGGTAATCAAGGGGAGGTGGCAACCCCGAAGCCACCACTGCATCAATGAGGATATTACATTAGAACTGTCAAGGTTTGAGGAACCCCTTGACAGTTCATTATCTTAGGGAGATTCGCCACTCTAAATCTCCCGATGTAATGTTCCTCGTGGAAACCAAAAATGATGTTTCATATGTACAAAATGTTTGCTCCTCTCTACGCTACCCTCATCATTATATCTTATCGGCTCAAGGAACGAGCGGTGGTCTAACTATCTTCTGGGATCATCATGTCCTTCTAGATGTTTGCAATCCCTCTCTCAATTTTACTGATGTATATATCAGAGATGGAGTATCTACATATTGTCTTAGTTATGTTTACAGATCTCCTTATAAGAGACTACGACAAGATCTTTGGAAAACACTGCAATGCTGAGCACCTTTGTATCACATCACTCCACGTCTGGTCTTTGGCGATTTAAACGATATCAGATCAAATGATGAGAAGGCAGGTGGTCCTATAAGGTCTGAATCCAGTTTTGCAGCCTTCCGTAATATGCTAGTTGCAAATGATTTACAAAATCTTTGTACTATTGGCGGGAATTATACTTGGATGGGTTCTCGTCATTTGTATGTGGTTTGGAGAAAGATTGATCGTGCAATGGCTAACACGCTCTGGACAGATATATTTCCTAATGCGTATGCTCAATTACTACATTGGATGGGGTCTGATCACCGTTCTCTCATGCTTTATACAGATTCCAAAGCTTGGGAAGCTAAGAAGTTTTTTAAATATGACAATCGATGGTCAGCTAATCATCAAGTTAAAGAAGTTTTTTCTTTGGAATGGGCAGAAAGGTGTCAACAACTCCCACCAAATCTTTTTGGTCAAGTTGTCGGGATGCCTTAGCTCGATAGAAATGGAGTACTAATCTCAATTCTAGCAAACAAATACAGGAGTTGAAGCAGTCTCTCCACCGAGCGTATAACTCTTCTACTTTAGATTTTCATCACATTAGTTTTTTTTTGAAAAAGAAACTAATGACTGCTTACAGGTTAGAAGAAGAATATTGGAAAGCTAAAAGTGGGATGCATTGGTTAAAAGCTGGGGATCGTAACACTAAATACTTCCATGCTACAACTAAGCAACGCCGTTACAATAACAAAATGGTCGTTTTAGAAGACGATGATGGTCACATATATACGGATCAGCATGATATCAAGTGTCATGTTCAGGATTACTTTCATCAATTATATGCTACGCAGCATCCTATGATTGATCAGGAACTATTGCAAGGTATTTCTCTCTCTGTCACTCCTGCTATGAATGAATAACTTACAGCTCCGGTCACTACAGAAGAAGTTAAACAGGTTGTATTTAGTATCCCCCCTGAAAAATCCCCAGGTCCTGATGGAATGAATGCAGAGTTTTACAGACATTATTGGGACACCATAGCTGAGAGTGTGTACAATTTTGTCAATAACTTTTTCATACATGGCTATTTAGATCCGGAGATTAATCATACCAATATTTGCCTTATTCCTAAATAAGATTCTCCAATTTCTTTGAAAGATTACCGTCCTATTAGCTTATCAAATGTGGCTTACAAGATTATCTCTAAGGTACTTGCTAATAGATTAAAACCATGTTTAACTGATATTATTTCTGAGAACCAAACTGCATTTATTCCAGGACGGCTTGTTACCGATAATATTCTAATAGCTCTTGAACTTCTTCACTCTTTACGCACTAAATGTCTCAAGCATCACTTTATGACTCTTAAACTGGATATTACTAAGGCTTTTGATAAAGTTGAGTAGATTTTTTTAGATGCAGTTATGGCTCGCTTGGGTTTTAATGAGCAATGGCGGAAATGGATCATGCTTTGTATCTCTTCTGCATCCTACTCTGTGCTTGTCAATGGGGAACCAACTTCTCGGATAACTCCTCACAGAGGTATACGTCAGGGGATCCTCTTTCTCCGTATCTCTATCTCATATGAACTGAAGCTCTCTCTGCTTTGCTTACAAGATCGGCTATACAGAAAGAATTTCTAGGCTACAGAGCTTCCAGGGGAGGACCGGTAATAACCCACCTTCTTTTTGCAGATGATTCCTTATTGTTCTCTGGAGCTAATGTACGGGACGCCAGTACGTTAAAGCGAGCGCTTTCCGTCTATGGTCATGCATCAGGACAATTCATTAACTACCAGAAGTCGTCTCTCCTTTTTAGTAAAGGTACTCCTTCTACTATCACTACTCGTTCGCATTTACTTCAAATACCTCAAGTAGGAGGCTTTGGAAAATATATAGGAGTGCCTGTACATACTGGTTATTATCCAAAGATAAAAGTTTCAGATCTCTTCTTTTCAGGTACAGTGATTTGGAATGAGGAAAAGCTACTTAGCCTGTTTGCACCTGCGGATGTACAACATATATTACAACTCAGACCCTCAATCACCCAAGTAAGAGATTCACTCTCTTGGATATATACCAGTCATGGTTGCTATACGGTTAAATCTGGTTATTTTCTTTTGCGTACCAATATAACAAACCACCCTTCATCATCGATTTCTCAGAATGATATTTTGTCTTCGTTCAAAACCCTTTGGCGACTATATGTACCCCCAAAACTAAAATACTTTTGGTGGCGGGTTATTCATAACAGTTTGCCTATTGCTTCTCAGCTTCATAAACGAGGCATAAATGTGGATCCCCTCTGTTTTCTCTGTGGTTAGGAATCTGAAACGCTTAATCATTTTCTCTTCTAATGCAACATCTCAAGAGAGGTATGGCAATTATCTGTCCCTACTCTCTCAGGGCGACTTCATAGGATGAGTCATGACCTTCAGCTCAATCTAGGAACCTTGTTTCGGTTCATGTCCCTCAAGACAGAGCAAAGTACTTAAATTCCGTTTGTTGGCTGGGAGCTATGGAAAGCCCGCAATCATCTTGTAGCTGGAACGGACAAGTCTCTGTTTTTGAGTGATCTCACAAGAACCACACAATGGTTAGTACTTAGTACTTAGTACCCATCAAATCTCAGTCTCACTAAAGGGGTTTGGACAAAGGAAAAGTTGTCCCCATAGATGTTTTTCCGAGGATATGTGTTAATAAGATTATCTATTAATGAGGAAGTTTCTACCACGTCATACTCTTACAACCAATGGGAATTCGAGACTCAGATTTCGTCTCAGTTTATAATTTTACTTGTAACTTCATGGGACTCCCATCTCTTTGGGTATGAGAGAGAGAGAGAGAGAGAGAGAGAGAGAGAGAGAGAGAGAGAGAGAGAGAGAGAGAGAGAGAGAGAAAACAAAAATATGCTCTGAATTGTTATGGACGCTCTGATCTTAGTATAAAATTGTTCATTGAAATGATGAATCGAAAGAAAGAAAGATTTATACAAATTATTTAGATGTATTGGAAAAAAAATATAAAAGCTGGGTACAAAAAAATACCATATGTTCATTCTATTCCTTGTGTTCATATCAAAGACAAACTTCAAGTTGAACAATACATAAAAAAAAAAAAATACTGTGGTATATGAATTTTCTTTTTCTAGCTATTTGATTCATTTATAAGAAAAATATATATATGTATATATATATATATATTTTTTTGCTAGAGATTTGAACTTTAGAGATGACAAGGAAAAATAAATCAAAGAAGCGTGGTGAAAAAGAAAAAAAAAAATTAGTGGAAGAACCAACCTTCTTTCAATCTATACACTTTTGACTAGAGATGGCTTACAAAGTAGAAATCACTTTGCCATGAGCTTTTGATTTGTAAAAACTTTCCCCTTGCCTCCTCATAGACGAACCGGTAATCCAAAATTCTGAAAAGTTATAGTAAAAGCTCTCACTCTCACTTCTCGGTGCCTTCCGCCGAAACATTGCAATGCGATGATTCCATTAATTGTACTGCACAAAGGAAAAGGCTTATCTCAGACGTAACAATAACACTGCAAATACTCACGTAACAATAAGCGAGATAAAAAAAAACGGTTTCGTAGTAGACTCATAGGAAAACATTGAACACCAAATTAATTTATTTTATACTTGCTTTTTCCTCAAAAAATGGCAAAGACGATATAATAATAATATACTTTAAATTTTGAGTATAATGAGTTGTTCGAAAGGGAAAATTCAAACAAATATATCTTGGGTGTGGTTAATCTCTACAAGTCACCTGCTCATGAAATTCCATCAAATTTTCGAAAAATAAAATTATAGATTAAGTGTATACATATAAACCCTAATAACCAAAAACCTCGCAAAGCCCATGTATATTTTGAGTATTATGGTCCAAAAGTTACAACTTTGAACTTAATTCCCGCTTTTTAAAAAAAATCCATTTACGTTTATTATTTTATTATTGGTTATTAGGTTGTTGAATGTTTTTTTGGGGTAATTTCACATTCGAGCTAGATAGATAACCAATCCGATATTCTGACTAAAAATATACATTAATTCTATATCCATTTACCTTTATTATTTTATTATTGGTTATTAGGTTATTGAATGTTTTTTGGGGTAATTATTTCACATTCGAGATAGATAACCAATCCAACATTCTGACTAAAAATATATATACTTATAACTTGTAGTTTCAGTCTTTATTTAGGGTTTTCAATATTTCTTGCTTTATGGATATATATATATGCATGCAAACCAAATATCATATCATTTGGTAAAGTTTGATACGATTTCGGTTTCCCAAACCCTACGAGCCTTCTCGACATCACTAGCTTCTTGAGACAGCTGATTCTCGAATAAAGACGAGGTCTTGACGTCTTGTTCCACCTCCAGTACACTCCCGACTTCGTCAAGCCCGGATTACTCACCACCTTTAACGATCAAATATATTGCTTGATTACGCCGCAAGAAACAGAAAGAAATATTTTCTTGCGCCACAAGCACAATCAGTTTTGGTTAGTTTTCTTACCTGAGCAAGTCTTTTGCTGGCCTCTATCTCGAGACGTAACCTTTGGTGATGTATTTCTGAAATGGAGGGAAGAGGGAATGGAAGAGAAGAATATGCTATCTCTGAACAATCCTGTGGTCGCAATACAAACAGGGTAAAGGGAAGTGAAAGCGATGTCGGTTTCTTCACGGAAAGGCCTATGAAACTCTAGCATCGTCAACATGTTGCAGACTTACTGTCTTTAAACGCCTTTGCACCGTTGAAATCTCCTCCATCTATCATAGCCAAGCTGTTTATCCTGTTCAATCCCCGATAGTCCCCTTAAATCCTCGAGATTTGCCTTCGGAGGTACATTGGTGTATTAGTGTTTCCTATTCAAACAAGTAACAGAACGTATAGGCTTTTAAATTTAGGGTTTAGAATAAGTATTAAGTACATAAAGCACTCTTGTTGAGAGGAGACTAATACCGGTTATGGATCCAACCATGATGAGACGTTTCGACGGATAATCAGAGTTCTTTAAGTCATCAATCAACAATCTTGAGAGAAGAAAGTGTCCTAAATGGTTCGTCCCAACGCTAAGCTCAAACCCTTCAGCTGTGAAAGTTGGTTGATTAATTAGCCGTTACAAGCAAAATCATTTTTATGCATTTCGGTTTATTAAATTCGGTTTGATTTCAAAATGAGATTCAAAATATCAAATTAAACCAAATTTAACAAATCAAAATGCATGGAGATTGGTTTTATTTTGTTTACCTCGTAATAATCAATTTATGCATTTCCATGAAGTACATTCGTTGTGCAAAAATGATATTATTGTTATCTTGATTTTTGGCTTTCTATCATTTTAATACATCATTTTATAAAATAATAAGTTATCAATCACAAAAATACCAATTAACAATTTTAAAATATTATTTCAATTGTTACAGTAAAAAAAATAGAACTCATTGTAGAAAGCTACTGAAAGGTAGCCGACATGGCTGTTTCTTTTTATGTTAGTTTCTCAAATCTGGGTAAGCATGTAGCTGGTTTTCTTTTGATTTTTTTTCATACCCAAAACCTATAATATTTGTTTTTTTTATAAGAAAGCAATGACCTTTTTCACTGCTTTGAGAAACTGATGTATAGTTTTCAAAACTTTGGTTTTTTCTTAAACCTTGAGGATCTACTGTTAGCATATGATTTTAAGAGATAGCTGGTTTTCTTATATTTTTTTCATATCCAAACCATATAAATTTTGTTATTTCTTCACAAAACGATAAATTTTAAGTTTTGTTATTTCTTCACAAAGGGATGAGTTTTTCACTGTTTTGAAAAACCGATGTATAGTTTTCAAAACCTCCGTTTTTCTTTTAAACCCTAAATGATCTACTCCTTAAAATTTGCTTTGATATCTGGGTTTTGTTTTTCTGATTCAACTAAAAGATTTTCATTTCTATAACAAATTCTTGGGGATTTAACTTTTTGATATAGGGAAATAAAATCATTAAAAAAACATTGATTTATAACTTTCAGTAGTCCCCGTTTTTTTTCCTTTTGCTCTAACATGCTATGTTTCAGGTTATTAGATCTATGGCTGTGATGACCCATCATTACCCGCCAATGTATTAGTGTTTCCTATTCAAACAAGTGACTAATTACATAAAGCACTCTTCTTGAGAGGAGACTAATACCGGTTATGGATCCAAGGATGATGAGAAGTTTCGACGTCATCAATCAACAATCTTGAGAGAAGAAAGTGCCCTAAATGGTTCGTCCCAACGCTAAGCTCAAATACTATGGTATATGGATTTTCTTTTTCTAGCTATTAGATTCATTTATAAGAAAATTATATATATGTTTTTGCTAGAGATTTGAACTATAGAGATGACAAGTAAAGAAAAATAAATCAAAGAAGCGTGGTGAAAAAGAAAAAAAAAATTAGTAGAAGAACCAACATTCTTTCAATCTATACACTTATGACTAGACATGGTTTTACTAAGTAGAAATCACTATGCCTTGAGCTTTTTGATTTGTAAAAAATTTCTCCTTGCCTCCTCATAGACGAACCGGTAATCCAAAATTCTGAAAAGTTCTGATTTCGCCTCGTAAACCGCCAGTAACAATCACCATAGACCAAGCAGAAGCACTCGGTTTTGTGCTAACCGGTCCATTAGACATGTCGACGCTTACACGAGGGCTAGTTCGTGCTCGGTTCTTCGCAGCCAGCAAAAGTTTCTCTTCGGGCCAAGTCGCTGAGATTCTATCGAAGAAGTAACGGTTCGTGGCGCTCGAAATGATACCGTTGGTGACGGTTTTGTTGTTGGTTGGATCGTTGACAGGTGTTGGAGGGTTATTGGCTGTGAAAGGTGACTGGTCGGGGCTGTTGTTGCGTTGATTGTTGTTACTGATTCTGCCAGGCCAAGGTGCAGCCACAGAGACGTCTCGACAGTAAAAGTGTTCGTATGAGTTTGTGACTGTGACACGTTTGCTTCTTCCAGCTCGAGAGTCTGAGTCGTAGTTCCATACATACACATTAGAGTCTTCGCTTGCTGAGACTAAGAATTTCCCGTTTGATGTTAGTGAGGCCGAGATTTGGCTATTCGTGTTGCGAAACCCTGCAAACCCCAAAATTATGGTAACAAAACTTAGTTTCCTTTTTAAGACCAAACAGAGAAACACAGGAACATTGAGAAAAAATACATCATTTTCATGTGATGTGGGACTCGTATCTTTTGAAAACGATAGACCGAGAAATTCGCTTCCATGGGCATTAAAAGTTATACTTGACTCCTGAGTTCTAAGAATGAAGAAGAGAGATTTCAGTTTAAGTGTTGTTTACCTTTAAACTTGTGAACAAGGTCAACACCGTTAACAACACGCGTACGTGAATCTGCAGATGTGACAAGCACTTCCGATGAACTTCCCGCCACAAACTGGTTCATGAGAATAGTCAGATAAACCAATACAGCATACGACAGTTGTTAAGTATAAATTAAAAGAACCGAACAGAACGGTGTTAACTTGTTGTTTTAGCTTTACCTGAAAACCAGTGATTTTCTTGTGATTCGATTTCTTTTTCCTGTTCTTCAGATTGATTTCCTTTCTCTGCTGCAGTTTGTTATCTAAATAACGAAACAACAAAAATTAAGTTTGAAAGACCAGATGAAGAAACAATTTAGGCTTCTGAGAAAGAGATAAGTAAGGCTAATAAGTTTATATACCATGTGTGTTGTATAAGCAACAAGTCCCCTTGTATGAACCAACCAATGCCCCCTTTACAAACCAAGAAAGCTTCATTAAGGTACTGCGTGATTTGATCTTTACCCCCCGATATCACTTCGTTACTGAAAAGAAAAGTTAATGGTATACCTGACCATCCGGTGTATAACAAGCAGCTGTGACCATTTCGTGAAGATCATTCCAATCAACAACTTGATGATCAGGAATGCTCCATATGCGAACTTTTGCATCCAATGATCCACTGATGAAGTAATTGTCGTCCATGGGATTAAACTGGATGCAAGTCACTGTGTCCACGAAACAAGAAACCAGATGAGAGAAAAATCGTATGTTACATATGTGATGTATAGACTTTTATTTCTTATTCCTGTGTTGCAGGGATTTACAAATGGATGAGGCTTGACGAGACTGATATTTCGTAAGACAAATATATTGACATACAGAGTCTTTCCAGAAACAGAGTTGACACTTAAGGCGGCTTATATATTCTGTATGCTTAGTTTCCTAGAGAAAAGTAAATCATGGTCCTTGATGGGTAATAAGAGGATATATTCACTCACCGTAGTCACTATGTGAGAAGACTTTCAAACATGACTTGCTAGATAAATCCCACAAACGTACAGTCTTGTCCATGGAAGAGGAGAGCAGGTGCTGGAATAAAAAACAATGAGGGTGCAAAGTCTTGAGTATTGATGCATCTGATTAGAGAAGAATAGCTGAGCGAAGCAGATTCTCAGATAGTAATTTGGAAAGCCTAAACATAGCACTAGCAAGTTGAACAAGATTTTGCTTCACACAAAAAGAAAAGTTTGGAATAGTACCAACCTGAGATTTCGACCACGAAAGATCAAGCACATCATCCAAATGCCCTACAAACGAACACGCGGGTTTCTCTGAAAGACCAAAGACTGTTTCTGGAACCAGAACATTATCCAGGCTCACTGATTTTCGGCTAAAAGATGTTCTCCCTCTTCTCCTCGGAGACATTGAAGCTGGCTCTGGAGATCCATTTGCCAAAAGAAACAGATTTATGCTTCCATCTTCTTGTTGTTTATCCATCGACAAGAGCTCTCCCTTTCTTTCTGAATCTACAACCTTCCAAATATGAATAACACAATCCTCTCCAGCACTAGCAAGGTACCTCCCATCCAGACTGAACTTAATGCTCCAAATGGACCCTTTATGAGCTTGAATCTCTTGGCTCTTGAAAAGTGCCGTGAGCTCTTTACATGACTTTCCATACTGCCTAACCTTAACTCTCTCCGGGTCGTGGAAGGACATGTCTCGGCTATCATCAGTTGCAGAGCTAAACCTATGACCTCCTCTCTCGGACGGTGAATCTCTATCGTCGGTGCTTCGACGCTCTTTGTAACCTGTTACACTACTAGCAACACTCTTTATACTCTTCAGCCAACTCCCTCTCCGTCTATGCTTGGTTACTCTGCTTCCACTAACGTTGGTATTCAAATCCACAGAGTCTTTACAAACATCTTCGACATTCTGCCTCCTCATGAGCTCGAGAACGATCGGTGATGTCCCAACACACATCTCAAACTCCTCCAGAGTCAATTGCCGATCGGTACCTACCTCCTTCAACTTCTCCAACATTCCATCATCTCTAACTTCGTTCACAACAAACTCTTTGCCAGTATCTAGATTCCTAATGGTGCACATTTGCTCCTCCAGAAGAGCATCTCTCCGCCCGTTCCCATGAAACGAATTACTTAAACTTTGTTTCTCTAAAACGTCCCTAAGAGATGTTTCTATCGGCTCTTTGCTTATGAAATCAACACCACCAACAAGCACATTGTTACGCGCACGCGAAGAATGATCATTGAGCATATTTGCAGAAGAGCAAGAACAACGAGATCCGGTATACTGTCGAAGCTTACCAGGATCGACATTGACGCTAGCTGCTGCGTCTGACCTCAACACGCCGCCGGCTACGCATTTGCCATGATGCTTTGAGATGAGTACATCAGACGAAACCGATCTGGCGAAATGAGAGCTGCAAATCCCTTTTCTGCGGCTCTTAGACCGGAGCTGGCTCGCCGGAGGGAGATCCGGCTCGTTGCTGAGTCCCAATCCGCGCAAAAGCCTGATTCGTCTCTCTGACACAGATTCAGGCTCGGATTTCCACAGCTCGAAACCGGAGGGGAGCGGAAACGGATTCGGATCGTGGATCGAGTCGGAGATGTTGGGGTCAGAGTCGTAATCTGAGTTGGAAGTGGAACAAGAGCAGGACGAGAGAACGCGATCGAGAGACTCATAGAAACAGTCGTCGTTATCTTCTTCTTCTTCTACTTCTACTACTACTTCTTCCTTCCTCGCTCCAAATCTAGCGACGTCGTTTCGTCCGTTCATCACCATCATCATCTTCATCATGACTGTAGCAGCAAAGGTACTCCCATCAGAGACAGAGGATAATGCCTCTCTCCCTCCTCTTCCCCCTCGAAAACACGATCCGACACGGTGGCGAAATTTGACTTTTGACTGGTATTGAGCGCTTCGAAGTAGAGGAATTAGGGTTTTCGAGAATCAAAACGAACTCGCCAATGGGGAGGTTGAGTAGAGAGAGTCAGATCGGATTAATGGAGAGAGGAGAGAGAAATACTGTTTAATGTTTATTGTCCTACCAAAGAGAGAGAGAGAGAAGAAGCCGCACCGCAACGCAACGATTTTAATTGAATTCAATGTTTTTTTTCTCATTTAATTTCTGTTTTTTTTAAAAGGATTTCGTTTTGATTAAGGAAAAATGCTGTAGATTAATCGAATAACTAGGATGGATGTTATAGCTTTGCTGTATATATTATATGCTTTATTAGTCTAAATTATTGCAGAAATCGTGCCTAATAATTATAATGGAAAGCATATGCACATGCTGCTAGACAGTATTAATGTTTTATATTAAATGATTTTTTAATAAAAATAGCAATAGCTAATTGTTTCATACGTAGAGAGGCATAGAGCTTTCAATTGGGGTGGTACGCAGAAGAGGAAAACGATATATCAAATCTCACCAATAAATTTCGACATAAATTATTGAAATTAATATGACTGATACCATAATGATATATTGAAATGACTTTCAAGTTTTTTTATATACAAACTGAATTAGAGAAACGGTTCGTTTGTATGAATTAGATAAAACATGTTTTTGGGACATCATTTTGTTTCTTTCATCTAAAAGAGTCGTCCATCTTTTTAATCAGAATTATAACTATTTGTTTTGTTTTGTATGTTCAATCTAATAACAAGAAATCTACTTAACTATTAGTTGGATATACAACAATAGTATTTTATTCCAACACACATTATTAATGCACGTTCAAAGCATATAGGGACAAAGCTTTTTTAAAAATTTGTCATCGAAGGAATAAAAAGAACGAAAACAATAATGGCAGTGTGTATTTTAAAGGCAATATCAAAAATCATCAAAGTTTAAGTAAAACACAGCTAAAAACGTGACCGATGAAATAGACGTAACAGTAATTAAAGACTCTCCTCTAATATCTTGAAAGTTTGAAGCGTTATGTGTCTACACGAATCACAAATCTAATGACTAGTGAGTAATGACTGTACTTAAGGTAATATATATACGTTCATTCACATATACTTGATCGCACATATACTATAATAATTGATGGTTGTTTTGGTATGATGTTGTAAATCATTTCGCATTAATACTATCGAATTTCCTAGAATGTCTATTGTAAAAAAAAACCTATAATCCAAACAAAATTATACATATGGACATTCTGTAACGAAAAATATAAGGGAAATTTTGAATCAGATAACTTCTTTTACTATATACTATATATTGTGTTTGTATATATCACAGCCACTCATATTCTAAGTTTCAAATTTTTCAATACACAGAGTTAGCAACAGCAACAAAAAAGACGACCAAACCTTGATAAGAATTAATTTATAGCAATTATTTTCTTAAAAAAATTATAAATGCTTTTCTGGTCTCCTGTAAAGAAAATTAAAAGAGAAGAAAAAACAGAACCGAAAGTAATTATCGACTGACTAATAATAGAAAGAACTACAATGTAGAGCAGGTTTCGATATAAAAATCACAGACATACCACATGGGTTGATTCTTATAACACAGCTGTTTAGTTAATTAAGCCTATGAAGACGATTACTGTCCTAAACCACTGAATATCAAACAAAAATATTTAAATGACTAATAATGTTATTTTTCTATATATATATATGATGATTGTTCAATTTTAATTCAATCAAAATCTATGCCTTAATAGCATCCAGCACTACTGTCATGGCCATTTGCAAATTAACATTTGCTTATCGTATCTTTACTTTCTTTAATTTTCTTGGTTATTGAAAAAAGATCGTGATGTTGTAATTTGTTTTAAGCGTCGGTCGTCAAACCGTATCGTAATTTTGATATATCCAGCTACAAGAATTTGGTCAATTAATTATGTGGCCGATTAATTTGATCTTACTTGATTGATTAAGATAATTATAATTACATTTTCGTTTTACATCGTATACAAAAAAGCGATTATAATTAATAAGACACTGCGACTAACCAGGTACAACTGCATGTTTGCAGCATGAATGATAATAACAACGGGCCAATAACAATAATTAACTAACACCTCTTGATAATACGGAAGATAATGTAACAAATTTATATTTAACTGTGACATATGTTAATTAATCGGTTAAATTCTAATATGTGCCATTTCTTTAAAATTCAAAACTTATATATATTATATATATATTGATTTTTGTTTCCAACATAATTATTCTCTTCCTGATATTTCTATCTAGATTCATCTATTTAAATTCTTATTGATTTTTGGTACATCCAAAATCGATGAAACATAATCAACATATAAGACACACAAGCGTTTTCGGCTTAAGTGTGAACAATAATATGGGCCTTTTAGAGAGACATCATACATGGCCCAAAGAATCTTCAAGTATCATCCTTTTAAGTCCTAAACTAGCAACTAAAACCGTCCGCAACAACATCCACCAGAAGAAAGAAACCAGAAGAAAGAAAATTGCATTATGTTGTATAAAAGTTTGCTTTCGTGTCACATACCCTACCATCAATATATGAATTCGTGTCAGTGCGTATGTGAGACTATGTTCTTTCATGTTACACGTGAAACTCGAAAGTGAGACTCTGATGAGAGAATAATATAAATCCAGTTTTTTTTTACTCTGCCGTCAAAAGTAAACTCATGGAAATGGAGATGAACGAAGTTACTTCGGAAACTAAACAGAGTATTCCTCTTCTCAAAGCCGTATAAGTTGGGAAACTTCAATCTTTCACATAGGTACTTACTTTACATTGCCTCTTTCTAGTGTTGTTGTATGATGTATGCCTTCCATGTGTTCGACGAAATTCCCAGCTGAAAACTTTCCTTATGAATCTACGATTTTCAGGGTTGTTCTGGCTCCATCGGAGTTTCAGATACAGCACAAGGGTCATTATTATATATATAAGAACTCTTCGTGAAATTCCTCAACTCTGCTCGTTTTGACTAAAGTTTACGTTTTTATTTATGGGTTTTGATTAAAGTATACGTTTTTTGCGTTTCTCCCACATAAGCTTTGAACATACTCCTGGGATATGGACTAAAGAGCAAGTGCCAAGTGGAGGCTTGGAAGCCAATCGTGGACGCTGTTCATGCGAAAGGCGGTTTCTTCTTCTGTCAAATCTGGCATGTTGGTCGCGTTTCTAATCGTGGTTCGCCACCCAAATTTTCTCACTCTCTTTCTTCAATGGAATAACATAAACATTTGAAATTGTGATCTCTAAGGTTGTGTTTGTTCTTGGCTGTTTTAAGGGTTTCAGCCAAATGGGGAAGCTCCTATTTCTTGTACGGACAAGCCATTGACACCAACCAAAGCTCTGTTCTCGCCTCCAAGTTAAGCACCGAAGAAATCCCCAGCGCTGTCAATGATTTTAGACTCGCAGCAATCACTGCAGATTAGGTTCTTTGTTGTTTGCTGCTTTGGCAAAAACAGAGCATCTTTGAAATTAGCAAAGGAAAACAGAGCATCTTCAAAGGTAAATAAATAAAGAAACAGGTAAATCATATTTTACTTGCCCTTTAGACACGCGCGTTCAACAAAATCAAAACGTATCAAAGCCCCTTATCCGTATTAATTATTCTTAAGATATTGTTGTTAAGAGTATCTAAATAGTGAAGTGCATTAAAAAAAAAGGAAACTCTCTCACTCTCTCTGATATTACAATTGTTGTTGTTGTTAGTAATTAACATTTTTTTTTATTAAACAGTGAAGCGCGTGTGTTCAAAAAGGAAATATCCTGAACGTTTCTAAATTGCGTTTATAAATAGACAAGGCATCTCCCATCAGTCCAAACCAAAAATCATTCTCACATTCGACTTCTTCTCTCTAATCTAGGGTTTCAATCGAGAGATATTTGGGGATTTCTTAGTTCGATCGGAAACTTAATTTGTTCATCAATTCAACAACACAATGTCTCTGATTCAAAATCTCTCACCAGAACCAAAATCCAGAAAGCGAAAGATAGAGAAATTGACAAATTCTTGGTCCTCTTTTACTAATTGCGGTCACTTCTTCGTTCGTCACGGAATCTGCTGCAACTGCAGATCCACGGTGGGGAGACACGAAGGCAAAAGATTCGACTATCTCGTTGATGGGTTACAGTTAAGCCACGAAGCCGTCGCGATTACAAAGCGACTCACAACACACGTCACCTGTCTCAACGACAAGAAGCTTCACCTCGTACTTGACTTGGACCACACGCTTCTCCACACCGTCATGGTTTCGAAGCTTTCCGAAGAAGAAAAATACCTAATCGGAGAAGTTGACTCAAGAGAAGATCTATGGAGGTTTAACAGCGGCCACTCAAGCGAGTTCTTAATAAAGCTAAGACCTTTTCTTCGCGAGTTTCTCGAAGAAGCCAACAAGATGTTCGGCATGTATGTTTACACGATGGGAGATCGCGATTACGCCGAGACCGTTCTGAAGCTGATTGATCCAGAGAAAGTATATTTTGGAGAACGAGTTATAACCAGAGAAGATAGTCCTTACATGAAGACGCTTGATCTTGTGTTGGTTGATGAGTGTGGGGTTGTGATTGTGGATGATACTCCACAGGTATGGCCTGATCATAAGAACAACTTGCTACAGATCACCAAGTACAACTATTTCAGAGACAGGACAAGCGGTGACTTGAAGTACGCAGAGGAGAAGAGAGACGAGAGTCACAAGGAAGGGTCGTTGGCGAGTGTTTTGAAAGTTCTCAGGGAAGTTCATCAAGGATTCTTTAGAGATGGAGTTGAGAGAGATTTAATCAGTGTTTCAAAGGATGTGAGGCTGTTGCTGCAGGATCTCTGCTCACCACAGTGTTTCTAATTCAAAGGATTGTGTAAATCCGGTTTAACTTTGGTAGATTCTGGTTTTAATTTTGTAGTTTCTATAAGAAATTTAGCATTCTGTAAAAACATAAATGTATCCTTGTTTCTATTTTCTTATCCGTATAATATAAAAAGACTTATCTTCCAAATTCGTCATACTATTATCACTTGGTTCATAAAATCTTCAGACTTCAATCGCAAAATAGTTCTGGCTCGAGTAAACCGGAACTGCTTGGTTAGACTTGCAAATCTAAGAAAACTTTAAAAAAACTTTCTGATCTCATTGTATTATGTTAAATACCAAACTTCGTGTTTGGGGGCATTCCTCTATAGGATTACATATCAACACAACAATAACCCATAAGTCTTTACATGGCTTGACACATCAGTATTTTCAAGCTTTTAAGAGATTGACACTTCAGCAAAAAAAAAACACTAATAAAAACATTTCATTAATACAAGTCATCAATTTATTTTAACTTTTAAATTTAAACCCATTAAAAACTCAAATATTTTTGATTGTTAATTTTAGTTTTATTTTTTGATCAAGCCCAAGCCCAAGCCCAAATAATAAATAACAGCATATAAAAAAAAATTTGTTTTATTTTTTTAACAAACCCAAATTATAAATAACAACAAATAAGAAAATTAAATCTTTGTTTTATATTTTTGTCACACTGAAACTCAAATAATAAATAACAGCAAAAAAAATTAAAATTTCTAACTATGTGTTTACTTGATAGAGACGTATATGATTGAAGAAAGTATAGACTCATCATCAACTATGTTTCCATAACAATAATGCAAAAAACGTTATGTTATAAGAAGCTCACACATCAACAAAAATTTGAACCAATAAAAACATAACAATAATACATAACTCATTAAAAAGTCCAAAGTTTACAAAAAAAAAAATGGAAGACGAAAGCAAATGAGGAGAAACTCAGACCACCACAGCTTGGAGATTCGCATTTCCACTCGTTACTGAGAACAAATTTTCTTGGGTTTGACGGAAATAGAGAATTTCTTTGTTTTGGTAGAAAAATGTGATTTTCAGTTTTGGTAGGAAAACATAGTTTCTTGGTTATGGCGGAAAAAAGCGAATTCTCGGGTTTAACGGCAAAATGTGAATTTATGGTTTTAGTGAGAAATAAAAAATTTGATTTTGACGAGAAAATACAACTTTTCAATTTTGACGAACAATACGATTTCTCGGTTTTGATAGAAAATGCAATTTTTCTGCTTTGATGGATAATGTAATTTCTTGATTTTTGCGGAAAATTATAATTTGACAATTTTGGCAGAAAGTGCAATTTCTCGGGTTGATAGAAAAATAAAATTTATTGATTTTGGCGGGAATAAATAATTTCTTGGTTTTGATGGGAAATGCAAATTTTTAGTTTTTGACATATAATTTGATTTTTGGTTTTCGAGGGAAAATATAATTTTTTAGTTTTCGTGAAAAACGCAATTTCTCAGGAGATAATGCAATTTTTGGTTTTTGCAGAAAATTGTAGTTTATCGGTTTTGGTAGGAAGGCGTGATTCTTGATTTGATGAGAAAAATAATTTTTTCTTGTTTTGGTGGGAATAAATGATTTCTCGATTTTTGCGGGAAAATAATTTTTTGTTTTGACGGAAAATACTTTTTTGTTTTTGCATGAAGATGAAATTTTTTGGTTTTGGTGAAAAAACTTGATTTCTCTGTTTTGACGGAAAAACACAAGTTCTCGCGCGAAAATGTGATTTTTTGGTTTTTGAGAAAAAATGCAATTTCTTTGTTTTGGTAGGAAAATGAAATTTCAGGTTTGACGAGAAAATGATTTTTTTTTTTGTTTTGGCGAGAATATGCGATTTCTCAGTTTCGTGGGAAATAATTTTTTTTGTTTTGTCGGAAAATGCAATTTCTCGGTTTTTGTAAAAAGATAAAATTTTTCTGTGCTAAATTTTCAAGTTATAATATGTTTATAGTAACCAAAATTGAATTATTTAACTTCAACTAAATTGATATTTCAACAGTTCAAATATAACTTTCTATTTAGTTCTAAAGTAATAGTAATGATTTTGATATGAATGTTATTGATTATAGTTTGGTAGTTTTAGAAACATATGTCTATAATAAATATTTGATAAATAAATAAATTTTATTATTTAAAATAATCATATAAATTAATATTTTTTTAAATGGTAATTTGCTTTATATAATTTCAAAGGAGGATCAAGTAGCAATTTAGTAGAGAAAATAAATTACATCTACCATTAGCTTGAAGATACTTAAAAATGTATTGTTTTATTCTTACATATACATTTATAGATAGTTAGCTAAACAAATTTGATAGTAGATTATAATTTAAAAAAATAAATAAATTAATGATATATAATGTTTATTCAGATTTAAAACATATAAATACATAACTTAAGCTAATAAAAAATAAATATAATACTCATTTAAAATATATAAATAATTTTATTATATTAAAAATATATACAAATCTAGAAAAATATTTCGCATAGCGCAGGTAAATACCTAGTATAGATCAATATGGGATAAAAATAATATATTCTTCTATTATTCTACCGAGTTTGTAATTTGTAAAATATATGTAAATCCCAACTTCGTGTTTGGGGGCATTCCTCTATGATTTTTATATATAGTCAAGTCAACAACTTGGTGACTTGACCAGTCGATATTTTCACCGACTTTAAAAAAAAAATTAAGATCCCAAACTTATTAATTAAAACCTCATTGTATGACCATTTTACCTCTAATTTTAATATAATCTTCTCATGCATAGCTTTTTAATAAAACCCTTTTCTTTTATTTTCTTAAGAAAATTCTTTATTTGATATTATTATTTTCTTTATTTTTACATCAAACCATATTTCAAGAAATTTATTTATTTTAATATCACCACTTTTTAACTCTCTTCTTGCTTTTTTTATTAACTGTTTTTATATATCAAAGGATTTCTGCATTAAACCTTAATAACTGTTAATATACTGGTCATAACAATAATAATAATATGTTATCTCTTTTGTTTTTTTTTAAATCACACCATATTTTAAGAACACCACTTTATCACACTATAAATCTACCTTATTTTGCTCTTTTTAATAACTGGATTTTATTTAATATGTTTTTACATCAAAGCATAATTATAATAGAAATTTCTTTCTCCTTCTGCAGTAAACTATTATTAAAGTTAATAAAGTGGTTATAACCATAATTATAATATAAGTAATTCTTGTTTATATCTACATCAAACCATTTTGTTTTAAGAAACTCATATTTTTGTTCTGGAAAACAAAAACAAAATTGAGTGCTATACACAAAGTGTTTAAAAATGAGTTCTTCCAAATTGTTGATTGCATTCTCTCTCGTGGTTACATTGGCCATTTCCTATGACTTTTTTTGTGGTGTGTTTCCTTATACTTTCGAATCTATTATTAATGTAAATATTCGTAAAATTTCCCCCAATAACAATTTTTTTGTGATGGTTCATGGTTGTAGAGATGAAAATAAACGATAAAAGTCAAACCTGTGTTGACCATTGTAAAGAGACGAAGAATGGTACAAGAGTAAGCACATGGTACCAGAGTATGGAATGCAACACACTGTGTTTGGAAATGGCTTTCACGGGTGGTACTTGGATAGTTGCATTCAACACCATGAACTTCCTCACAAACCTTCTATTGATCGTTCTTATTGTTGTAAACATTACGTATAGAGATTATTCTTCTTTTAAGAGGATGGTCATATGATTAAAATACATTTTTTTTTTCTATTGTAGTTGTATTTGTAAACTATATGAGTAAATGCGCATAAGCCGTCTAATAAAAGTGCTCCCAATGAGAAAAATTGTGGTTTTTTTTTTTTATAGTCGATACTCAATATATATATATATATATATATATATTTTTTAAAATATATGTACAGTTGCATTAAAATATTTTTAAATAATAACATTTCAGTGAAAGGAAAAAAGTCTTTTACTTCACATAGAGCTGAGATGGACCAAGATTCATTCTTTCTCTTAATGGGCATATGAGTCCATTAAGATCCATATGCATTGTCTCAGCCCAATTAAAGCAAAGCTTGGCAGAATTTGCTCCAGATCGAATGTCAGGAATGTCACTAATTTAATAACCTGACTTGTTTATTAAGATTCTAAAAGAGAAAACATTTTGAGTTTAAGATTCAAAATTAATAATTTTATCACTATAAAAGGAGTCATTAAAGTGTACGGTCAAAAAATTGACCAAAAAAAAAGTATGGTCAATTGGCTAAATCATATAATGGTATAAAGGTTAAAATCGAATTTATGGTTATGAATATATGTGATATATGGTGACTAACAGTCTACTCTAACCAAAAAAAGGAATCTGAGTAATGACTAACAACCATTTCGTGTGGTTATAAATAAATTTCATAAGCAAGAAAAGATATAACAAGAATTAGTTAAACCACTGACCCAAAAAAAAGAATTAGCTAAACCATTCGAAAGTGTGTAAGAGATCGAATTGTATGAAGATGGGCGCCTCAAAAAGTTTAATTGTATTCACCATCGCCGTTTTCATGGTGATTTCCTCCATTCATTGCCAAACAAATAATCTTGATACCGGTATTGATATATTTCTTTTTTTTATTGTTACTATTATTATTTTTTCATTATTTTGAGTATTTTTTATTATGTTATAAATTCCAGCATTATTTATTAAGATAACCATCCAATTTTTCAAAAATTCCTTATTTTCATAAATTTATTATGAAAATTTGCTTTTGCTTTATATCATAAATAATTTTATTTCTTATGTGTGTATATGCTTTATCATTAAATTGGGTTTTAAAAAAATAGGTATTCTGGCACCGGACGAGGCCTCTAATACACTTTGCTACAATCCTTGCACTTATAAACTCGGCAACAACGAGTGCAAAGCGATTTGTGTGGATAAGAAATACAAAGACGGTTCTTGTATTGGTTTTGGAATTCCCCCCACTGCGAAATATTGTTGTTGCAATAATTGATTAATTTATAGTTATATGAGACGTTGAGAACATAAACCAATAATAACATTGATATGTATTATATCTCTTGAATAAAAGTATTATTTTTAGATCTTTTGAGATTAATACCTCAGAATCAGATGATTACTATTTGAGATATATATATATATATATATATATATATATATATTTAGATCGATTTATTTATGTTGAAATTATCATTGACAGAAAGTTTAATAACCCCTACGGCCAAACATATCCAAAATCGATAAACATTTAAGTAAAGACGAACCGAAACCAATTTAACATATAGTATCACAAAAACCCACAAAAATTGTTAAATACAAAAAAAAATTAGGTCAATCTATTTACTACCATTTGGTTTTCAATTGAAAACTTATAATAAGCGCAAACTTAACAAAAATAAATTGATGTTGGTATGAGAATCACGCATAAATGAAAAGCAAAGATTTTGACAAGAAGAAGACAACCATGATTAAGAAGATACTAGATCTTGAATCCGCGTCATGCGTGGGTTTTTTGTCAACAAAATTTTTTTTGGATTTGTTGAATTTTTAGGTAAAAAAGAATATTAATTTAACTATGACCCAAATTAGTTGACAAATTTTACTGTATCAATATTTTCTATTTGATATATGCTATGGATCAAGTTTTGCACACACTTATTTTTGTGTTATCTAAAATGGGCTAGACAAAAATTAATCAGCCTAGGTGCAATTCCTTTCTTGCACAGTCAAACAGACAAAAGCATGTCCAAAAATCTCATTTCATCAGTCTTCTCTCGAGAGCAATCCTAAAAAGTAGATCGAAAACAAATCAAATCGATTGTGTTTTCCTAATCTGAAATCATGAATCCTACATCAATAAATCGCTGTTATCTTCAGATTTTAACACGGCAGACGAATTTCCAGAGAGATTAGAGAGAGTGATGAGGTTGGATTGCAGCGAGTCAATGATTTGGGGAAACTTTCGAGCAATTTGGTAAGTTGAGTTCTTAATAGTTCTTCTCGTTCCAGAAACGTTCGGATTTAACAAGTATTCGTTTCTTATGTGATTTAATTTTTGGTAAAACAATGATTACTTCGATTCATTTTCAAGCTAACTTGATTTCGGATGACATACAGTTTTGGCATGAATAACTGGAATTAAGCAGCAAAGACAACATTAAATAGGTAATATCACGTATATTTTTATTAAGAAATGATAATTTTTGTTCCTTATTGTAGATATAAAATTCTAGATAATCTATTAATTGATTTTCTATTTACATTATGCTTAAAACAATGAGGACGGATGTTTGAAGAAACACAGAAGGAGATATTCAAACACGACATTTTCCAGATAAGTGTTCATTCCCTAATGTTTCGATAAATAGTAAATCCATTATATAATTTACTCCAGTATCTGATTTATACTAACATGTATTGTTTTTTTTCAGTAGATCTCCGAAGAAAGAAGATATTGAAACAACGTAACAGACTCCAAAAATACTTAGATTACATTATCTAATAATATCGTAAGTCTAAATATTTCTGTTAAGATTATTTTGATTATATATTTGCCTCTAACTAATAAACTAATATAAGTCTTTGTTACAGATCGTCAAGCTTGAAAAGGATATCAGCACAATAAAGATAAAGCCATGGGTCAGCTTCTTCAATTTTACAATAAGGTAATAATTCAACATTTATTATAATTATTAATAGTATATAGATGTCGTAGGTTGATCCTTGGATTTGAAATATAGACTTGTTATATAAAATATATATATATATATATATATACTAATATAAGTATCTCGTTGATATAAGAAAATCAATAACAATCTAAACTATAAATAAGAAATAATCCAAAACTGAACTGAAAGTAATGAAAACTGGACAAAGTAATTATGGAATATTGTTCATCCATACGACTCATTTGTTAAAAATGAGTTCCCGTAAAAACCACTAAGTAACTACAACCATGAGTTACCAACATCTAGAACTTCATAGGTTCTAGAAAACCTCTTTGAAAACAACATTCATAGTCTTTCTTTGAGGTTTTCCTTCCTTATCAACAATCAAAATCTTAAGGCCTTTTTTAGATGTAACTCTAGATATGGCAATATAAAGTTGTCCATGAGAAAAAACAGGTCTAGGCAAAAAGATACCAACTTCAGAAAGAGACTGACCTTGGCTTTTGTTGATTGTAATTGCAAATGCTACGGCTAAGGGCAGCTGCCTTCTTCTCAATTTAAAAGGTAATTTGGCATTTGAAGGAGTAATTAAAATTCTAGGCATAATAACTTTAACTCTAATTTTCTCTCTCGTTATAACCCTTGCTTCAACCATAAATCTGCTAGTTGAGTAATCTGCAGTCTAGTTCCATTCATTAATCCTCCAATAGGATCAATATTCCGCAACAACATAACAGGACAACCAATCTTCAAACGAATATTGTGATTAGGTAATCCAGAAACTCGCATACTGTTTAAAAATTCTGGAGTAAGTGCATCGTTTTTAGCTGCGTTAGCATCAGAAGGATCTAAAGAGTCTGCACTTAAATATACTTTTTCCTCTCCTAGTTCAAGAAGAAAATACACGCATGTTAAAAAAGAATAAATACAAACATGTTAATGTATAATGAAATCGAAAAGATATGATTAAGCGATCACTAACCATTTAGCTTATCGAGCATATGCTCATTAATCATGTTTACATCTTCATTCATAGGACAAAGAATTGCTCTTCCTTGAAAAAGCTTAGGATCTTTGTTCTCTTGGAGTGATGCAGTATCTCCATATATCTTTCTGCTTATACATTCTATAGGGTCCTCTGAATCTAGAATAAGAAACTCTTCTGGAATGTCAATTAGAGCTTCACCATCATTAGGCTCAGAAATCTTCCCATCCCCAACCGCTAATATCCACTCTGAAAAAATCCTTAAGGTCATTTGCTTCTTGAATAGATAGATTATCAGAAACCAACCGCATATTCGTCGTCAACTTAAGCACTTTACAATGATCCCAAAGATATGAAGAATTAAGCGATGCTAAAACAATTTCTGCCCTACCAGCACCATGAATAACTGGAAGTACTTGTCTAAAATCACCTCCAAAAACTACTAATTACCACCGAAAGGTTTATTCTCCTTCTTCCCAATAATATCTTGTAAACTTCTATCCAAAGATTCAAAATAATGTTTGCTCATCATGGGTGCTTCATCCCAAATTATAAGCGATGCCTGCTTGACTAAATTTGTAAGATCAGAGCCAGCTTTTATTGTACATGTTGAGAAATCATTAGGACTTAAAGGTGACACAATATCAGAAACTCATCAAAGTATGGTCTTAATGAAATATTTGATGAACGGACCAACAAGAAAAGAAGCAAATGGTTTATATTTATAAAAGAAGATTATTTCCCATAGTTGGCGTCATTTACCAATTCAAGAGTGATGCATGCTTTCACACGTTCATGGTCATAAAAGGAAGGAAGAGAATTGGATGCAATATCACACGTCCATATTATTCACAATTATCTTCCAGATATTTAAGGAGGCAATCATCGACCGATCACATTATTGTTAATTGATTTAGTTATTATGATTTAAATATTATATATATTAATTGCATGATTTTGTACAAGCTTATAAAAGCTTTCTTTGTAATCATTTTGTGAACATATACAGATTTTTGGAAATAAAAGAGAATTCTCTCTAAAGCTTATGCTTTTTTTGTTTATCTAAGTTAGATGGATTTCTTTTCTTAGTAAACTTTTGATATATGTCTCTTGTATGTGATTTCTTGAGGCTAGATTTGTGAACTCATCACATGGGCTTTCACACCCTTGAGTGGCGTTCTTCGATCCATCATTCATCAATCCGTTTATCATCTTCTGACCTTGCAAATAGAGTTGTACGGCTCTTTGTTTGGTCCCATACTCGATCCACTTCCTTCCATAGCCCATCCACTGATTGCAAGCCGAAAGAGTTGAACAACCAGCGACCCAATCCCATCACCATACACGGTTACTTGCTTGTAGGCGTGTGTCAAAAGGGATGCTAAACCTTGAATGAGCAGTCTTGCCACCTTGTAACAACAGAGAAGCTATTCCACTTGAAGCAACAATGAGAACAATATCTCCTCTTGATCTGATTGCAGAAGATAGAATTCTCCATAAGAAAGTTTTTCCAGTTCCACCAAAACCATAAACAAAAAACACTCTACCACAATCACGTTTTACAGCACCAATGATCTCATCATATATTTTCTTTTGCTTATCTGTAAGCTTCTGGATGTCCCTATCGTGATCTGCTTTCAACTCTTCTTTGTTGTAACTTAGCTCATCAACGATTAAAACATTAAAACTCTGACTACCATTTGGCAACAACTTAGGCATAGATTCAAATCTTCCCAACGAAGTACTATTACTTTTCAGAATCTTATCAATCTCATGAAGACAAAACATTTTCTTCTCATCATCGCTTAGAATCATTCCTGAAATCCAACACTTCCAAAATTAAAATTCAAATAAAATGAAGATACCGTTACAAAATTTGTTTTGTCTAACATACATAGATAATGCTTAGTAAAGCCAAATAAAGTATTAACCTGGCCTATTCAACTCTTGTCTTTTCTTGAATTCTATGTCATCCGAAAGAAATTCCCATGTATTATTCCAAACATCTTCAAGAGTAGATAAACTATCAGAACTGAGCATAATACAAAAAATCTGATGAAGCTCAGATGGACTGCACATAAAACTCCTTCTAACAATATCATCAATATACTCTTGGTCATCTTCTAGCAAACCTCTGGCATAGCAAGCATCTTTTGTATGTAGGATACACAACTTTATTGAAAGTTTTTATATCCTTAAATCACTTCGGACCTCTAACGACGTTTAGAAGAACACGAAGGTAATATGCAGATTTTATCTTCTGTGGAGCATAATTAATTCTACCAATAGTAAAACCTTTCTCTCGCGTTTTAAAACACTTCTGTCTCTGATTATAAGTAAAATTAGTAGGAATTTGAGCATAGGTTAGTTTCTCCACATCAGAATCTATTTTGTTCAATTCAAACCAAGCAAGGAACATAGTATCCTCAATAAGTTTCCGAG